TAATTGGTTTTGAAAAAAACTCTTGATTGTATAAAACTTCTTGATTTTTCATGATCAGACAGAAATACTTGAAAAATCTCATATATCAATTACAATATTTATGATTTTCCTGAATGCACAATTTCTTTTATTAAAAACCCTTTGAAGAAAAAGAAACAATTTCCACAGACTCAACTATTTCTTGGTGGTAGGAACAAATTAACCGCATTTTCTTGTTTCTGAATCTTCTCTTCTATTTCAGGTTATTTTTTTACTTTCACGCTTTAGATACCTTTTGAGTGGTTGGAAAATTTAGTCTGACATTGTTTTTGTTCCTCTCTTCAATTTGAGAGCTACTTTTGATCATTTGTTGATGTTTTCTTTTTTATTAACTGTTTTGCATTTGCTGTTGTATTCAAATCTGTGAAATGGTATATGAAAATCAAAAAAAAACCAAACCTTGAAACAGGTTCTAACAATTTTAATTTCCATACAAAATTCAACCTCTAGAACAAAAATTCAGCTGAATGCAAATGTTTGCTGACATAAATTGTTTCAAAATTTTTTTTCAAAAAATAGATAAAATTGAAACTATGTACACGCACTGAGGTTGCGTGGATAAAAATCGACAATCGTATTAAATTTTTTGCCTTTATAATCAATAGAAGAAACAATTTGGGATCACGCAATCAACATTTTATGCCATATTATTTTAGCCGACTATGGTCCATTTAAATCCCTTCCATAATGTATAAGTTTTTTCCAATTTTTCTGCAAAATTAGCAGAATTTTCTGCATTTCTCACCTTAAACCTGCTCAAACAAACTTTTTTTAAACAAAACGATATTTTTTTAATTTTTAACAAATTTCACACACTGAACAGCCTTATAAATTATCCCAATTCCCGAAACTCAACGCCTTGAATTTTCCATCTCGCTCAATTTTGTCTTCCTCACGCTAACATTTTCCCCTTTTACCTATCAAATTTTTATTCTCCCGCCAAAAAAAAAAACAGAACCATAAATTAGGATGGCTCAAGTGCTGGAGGGAGAGGAGCATGCATAATTGCAAGAAGTAAGTTTGGGAATGGAGTTGGTACAAAAACAATACAACATCTCATTTTAATGGTGGCAATTTTCAAGTTTGTTTGCAGACTGGTGAAATTTTGAAATGTCCGAAACTATTGCGACTGATCCAAATTGAAATTGTCCTCAATTCAACTTGGAGCGATTATGTTTTGCGGGCCTATTAGTCACGCATAAATAATTCGCGTAACGCTTTCAGCAGTATGAATACAATCTTCAAATTGCGCATAACTTAGTCCAGAGCATGGTCAAACTAGCAATTTTCAAACTCCCAGAAATTTTTAAAGAATTGAACGGATTTAATTTTTTTTTACTTTCGATTTCAGGAAGTCAATATCTTCAATGGGGTATAATAAAATTTTGGTGATAAATAGTGTTTCGATTGCCGAAAATTGACTGAACGAAAAAAAATAAAAGCATAAATGTTAAGTTTTTTCCCAAAAATGTAATACAAAGAGCGATCAGGGATTGCCCTGATATACAAATAGTCTTGCTAGTTGCGGTTTTCCACGAAAACGACGGAAAAATTGTGCTCGGCATGTTTTTTTTCCATACAAATTTCAATTATTTTACAATCCATTTTTGACGGAATTTGCTTCCGCTCTCAATTTTTTTCCTTTGACCTGAAAATCAAAATATGGTTTCATCTGGTCATTTTAAATTTTTTTTTAATTTTGCGAAACTCGTTCAAATTTGGCACTATTTTGTCGAATATGCAGTTTTTGAAGCGCCATTTGAATTTTCTCATATAGAGCTAGCAATTTATTGCTTGTTTTTTGTTGCTTGGTTTTATATTAGCAATTTTGAAACCCTCATAACTGAACAAAAAAAAAACATCGTCAGGAGTAAAACATTTTTTTGAATTTGAGCTCAAGACAACAATAACTTTTAGATGGTTTAAAAACATTCCGTCAAAAATGCTTAGTTACAGTCCAAAATTTGCTGAATAAAAAACCATCCCAAGCACAAATATTCCGCACTTTCTTAGAAAGTCGGAACAATTAAAAAAACATCAATGAAGTTTATGCAATCATTAATGCGTCAACCCAAGCAATCATATCACTTGTAAATAAACTTTTTATCAATTTTTATCAACAGTTTTTCCTTTAGAGCATTAAAGTGCAGTCGGGTTTTTGACGGCTCCGCTCTGTTATGAGGAGTTTTGTTTGTGTAATTGTGTTTTAAAATGAAAGCTAATTATCTAAGGGCGCCTCAAACTGCACATCATTGACTCAAAAATTTTGAATAATGGCTCTGCACATATCTTAGGTTCACTAGATTCAGTAAATCTAATGGGCTATTGTACTAACGGGCTCTGTATAATTTTTGCACTCTGCTGTCTATCAGTTTGATCTTGACTTCACGTGAGGAGAAAATTAACAACAAAAAACAAAAATTGTGTTTTGACCTTTTCATACGAGCACTATTTTTATTGTTCCGAATTTCGTAAAAAAAAGTAACGGAATAATTCTGCTCGGCTGGTTTTTTTTTCTACAGACAAATTTCGTCTTTTTAAGTAGCCATTTTTGGCCTAATTTTTTTCAATTCATTCAAAAGGTATTGTTGTCATAAGCTTTAATTTGAAAGTTAATTCACCTGTGATCAATTTTTGTAAATTTAAGGGGGTTTAAAGATTTTCATTTTGCCCAATTTGGGACAACTAGCGCGCGATAAATTTCGCGCTTTTAACGTGTAAGGGGAGATTTAATCCGTCTTCGAAATCGTTCCAATTTGGTTAAAGGAAGCCTATTCGCCATAATTGTTTTTTTTAATAAGAGCGAATTTATTACTTTCTACTTTATATGGCGTAAGGGGGATGATTTTCACAAAAAGTTCCTTTTGAAAAAAAAATAATTTTTGTTTTTTATTAAATTCAATTTTTTCAAGTTATTAATGCTCAATAGACCTTGAAAGGCAGTCTGAACCGTCATGGCTTTGCCCTGATACGAGCAGTCTTGTTCCATTGATCAAAGAAAATAACGAAATTTAAAACAATGGAGTGCGGTTTTTTATTCAAACCAGTTTTCAAAATAATAGCTTTCGAAGAATTTTCATACTCCATATCAATTAAAGCTGATATTTTACCTAGCTTTTCAAAGTGGTCTATGCTGCTGAAAAAGTAACGCAAACTGTTTTTGGGTGGATCATTATCCCACATCTATTAACCTTCCAAATTGAATTGAGGCGAGCTAAATGACAATTTAAAATTACAGAATTTAATTTTTTATTGTTTTAGAAGATTTTTTTCTCGGCGACCATTAGAGGGAGTTCTTATATCACAATAAAACTATTAATGTACTTATTTCAAAATCAAAAAGAATTTTTACTTGCACCCATTTTTGTACTTTTATTGGGGTTTGAAACTTGCAAATGGGAAATGAAAGAAAAAAAAATTGAAAAACTTACAAAATTTTTCAGTGTTTTGAATTTTTATTTAATTTTCTCAAAAAAATCTCTTCACCCGGACGCTAAAGGGCTGTCGGAACCCTCAAAGATTCATCTTGATACAAGTCTTCTTTAAATTAATTTTTGTTTTTTTAATCTGTCTTTCGTATAAAAATTCTTTGATCAGCAGATAAAAAATATTATAATTGCCACAATCATGGTGTCTTTTTATTTAAAACAAATGTAGGTTTTTTTTGTATGAACCATGTGAGATCCGAGAATTTTTTTTTTGAAAAAATTTAAGTATAAGAAACTCATTTTTTTTTCTTTTTTTCTTACCTAAGTGCTTTTCAAAGAATACAAATTAACGTTTCTATGTTATCGAAAGTATTTTATTTGTAGATATTTGAGAAAGTGTATTATTTGTAGATATGATGAAGTATTTCATGTGTACTGTGTACAGCTTTTTTTATTTATGCATACTTTTATTATTTAATCATGAGATATGAAATCCTTTTTTTCTAAACAGTCTTCATAATCGCAAGTACCTTATGCCATCTTTTCCCGCACCAAATGTTAACTTGATCACAAACTTGTAATTTTGATCATTAATATCTCAAAAAAATCTATTGTGATCGATTTTAATGGATTATATTGAACGAAAAATATAAGGATAATCGATTATTATGTAAAATTACTAATACTGTCTCTAACAAACTTCACCTCATTTCATTTGAGGGGCGACATAAAAGCTGCTAAAATCAAGTCAGCTGAAACATGTGAAAGGCAAATGTAGGTACAGTAGCTTAATTTGACAGTTTTTGGACCAAAATTTACAAGGCGAAAATCACAGGTTAACCTAGAGTAATTTTACTTCTGAAAAATTGTCGAGAATGATGACATTTTTTAATCGACTTAATTTTGTCACCGATCAAAAATTGAGGTAGTTGTTAGCAGAAAAAGAGTGTATACCTAATAATGTGCCGCATTTTGACTGTTAAAACATCGTACCTCTCAAAAATTGTGCCCTTTTGCTTTAATGCATATTTCAAGTCTAATGAATGCTTGAAAAAAGCTCTCCAACTTATTGGAAGCACTAGAGAAAAGAGCTAACCTTTCAAATAATTAAGCAATAATTTATAGAATTAAATATCATGTCAGTTGAACGCTTTTACAAACGCGCAATGGTTTTTTTTCACGCAATTGTTCCCCTCTCGGCTGACAAGTTTTTACAAAGGTTCCCTTTTTAGGTACATACATTAATCCAAACTAAATTTCTATTATGTCCATTTGTTTTAAATTTTGAGTGAGTGCTCCCGCCGAAAAACGCATTTTTTTGCCCAAAACTTTTCAACACAGCTCACAAACGGCTCTGTTTTTTCAAAAAAAAGCGGCGCAGAAAGTATTGCCAAGCATGGTCATTTTAAAATTTATGGAAGCTCGAAAAACTCAAGAAATGGTTGACCTAAAAACCTTAAAAGACCTTTTGAAAGGAACACTGCGCCCGCCACTTTGTAGATTTTGACAAAAAAAAACATTTAATTTTTCTAGACTGACGGAGCTGATAACTCGGAAGCGTCTGCGTTTGGCATCCGCTTTCATCTGGTTGGTCCTGGCAGCATTCGGCGTCGGCTTCATGTTGGGATCCGAGGTGCAGACGAACCCTGCCACCAACTCGGAGTACTGCATCGTCAAACTAGTCGGACTCAGTTCATCCCAGTCCGGTTAGAACAAATGAGAGAAAACTTTCAGCCAATTTTCTTAAAATTGCAATGGTAGACGGATGCTGTGCAAGTAGCACAGAATGTTCCGATCTGATTGAAAAAAAATTCGAAGTTAAGGAAATTGTTTTAAAGATGAAAAAAAAATTATGATTCCTTTTTATATAGAAATATAGAAAAGCATATTGAAATAGGCGAAGAACCAACGAATTGCTAATTTTTCGTTGAAATTATCGTAAAATTCAATGGTCAGTCTCTAATTACTGTCTTAAGTTCTAATCTAATTTAGTATGAGAAGCAAAAAATTTCAGCGGATCAGCGGACAAACTTTTCAATTCCTAATCGAATCTCAATTACGACCAAATGGGTTTTGGGTGATTGACATGGGGACGCTTAAACTGCTTTCCCTTAAACTGCTAACTGCTTTTGGGATAGAGTGTTAACGTGGTCCCAAAGTTAATAATATATATACTATCGAAAAGCCTAGAATGTGTACAACTTACAAAAAAATGTGATTGATAAAATACATATATTGCCCAAATTTGGCCCTCGTTTCTGATTGGCTGTGAAATGATTAACTTGCTCCAGTAATCAAATGAACTTTATACCCCCTAAACCGAATGGGGTTTGATAGTTCAATGGAAAAAAAGTAAAAGTCGATATTAAAATTTTGGAAAAATCTTGCTCAACGCATTACGAGGCCAAACAGTTTGTGTCTGTATGTTCCTGAATTCCAGAGACAAGTCTTTAAACATGTTTTAAAATGAAAATAGATTCCACTTACAAACGTTCCGTGGAATCCCCGTACAATTACCTGTAACGTAACTTTTGTCGGCACTTTTGTTTTGACGGAAAAAATGCGGATTCCACTTACAATGTGCGGATTCCGCAACCGCTCATTTTAACTATACGCATTCATTATTTGTTTGAGAATTCCACATACTAATCCGGATTCCGCAAAAAATATTGCGAACTACGCAATTTCGCCTACTTTTAGAGCGTTTTTGAGCAGTACAGCTTTTTAGGTATTTGTTTGTGGAATCCACAACAGCAAATAAGATCAAAGAAGAAAAGCAATAATGCGGATTCCGCGACAAATCTGATTTTGGCCGGTTGCGGAATCCGCTTAAAATGCACAGAATGCACTATTTGGTCTCGTAATGCGAAGGACAAAATACTCAAACATTCACTGTTGCTGTTAATAATGGAATTATTTATCATAATCCTAACAAAGTATTTTCGTGCAGTTTTCGTGCAATTAAATAGTTCGGTAAATTTTGCTTAATGAATTATACAAGACTGTTCGTATCAGGGCCAAACCCGGAATGTTTCGACTGCTTTTTAAGTTTTATAGGGTAGTAGTAACATAAAAAAATTAAGTTTAATAAAATAAAATTTAAAAAAAATTCTTAAATTTGAAACTTTTTGTTTTTCCCCTATATGAAGAACAAAAGAATAAATTTCGCTCCTATTAACTAATCATCTATGGCAAATGAGCTTCCTGAACCAATTTTGAACGTTTTCTATGACGAATTAAATCTCCTCTTACGCAATAATAGCGCGAAATATATCGCGCGTTAATTGTCCCAAATTGGCCAAAGTGGCAATCTTTAAACCCCCAAGTCAAAAATGGCTAGTTAAAAATGGCTTAGTCAAAAATGGCTAGTTAAAAAGTCGAAATTTGTCTGAACAAAAAAAACCCACCCCGAGCACAAACATTCCGTTACTTTCGTTTCGAAAGTCGGAACTATAATTTTACAATCCACGCCAACATTTTTCCTCCTTCGGGTAGTACCATTGAACCTACAGGTCTGCTCACAAGTGTTTCACAGCGGAAATGAATCTTGTATTTTTTGATACTAGGCAAGAAATAACTTTCTCAATGCTAGAACTTAAAACTATTTGACTATTTATTATTTGCGAATTCCGCCTAAAATGGATTTTGCCTATAAATGATAAAAGGAACTTTTGTCAGAAGAAGAATATATAAAAAATAAATTGGATTGTACTTAACTATTCGAAAATATTTTTTGAGAGTTCTCCGTTATCCGACCTGCAACCAAAAAAATATTTGTTGTATCCGGAGTGAGGTCCGTATTTAGACAACCGCGTATTCATACTTTTCAGTAAGCGGACAATTTTTTTAACCAATCAAAATCAAGATGACAAAGCAAACTTACGAAATAAATAATTATTAATTATCAATTAGTTCCTTGTCTCGATTCTGATTGGTTAATATAGCGTTTGCCTGCGTACTGACGAGTGTTTGCGCATTGGGTCGGCAGGGGGTCGAATCCCTGAGAGGAGAGGCGTCCGCAACCCCCCCCCCCCCATTCCCCCACCCCCTAAATCCGCTACTGAGTATGAATACGCTGTCCAAAGACTCTTACGTAACATTGTATCCCTAGTAGTGACTAAACACTTATTTGCGTAGGGTTTCCAGTCAGCTTGTTGTTCGTGGTTGCCCCGATTCTGATGCTGGCCGTGCTCTACGGCTTTACCTGTCGGACTCTGTTGCGCAGTGTGGGCCAGTTCCGCCGACAGAACAGCTGTCGGTCTCCCACGATGGCTGCTGGCGGCACCAGCCAGCACCGAGCTGGAAGTCAGCAGAATTCACCCGCCAAGAACTGTTCGACCATCGGAGAGGAAGCAGTCACGAAGAGTTCGAGACATTCCCCGAAGCACGCCACAAACGTGGAGTAAGCTTTCGAAAATGAACTTCTTATTTTTTTCTGAAGTTAATGAAAATTATTGTTAGCGTACATTCGGATCATTCGCTAAAATCAACCGAAGCATCTTCGGAAACATTTTGCGTTTCAAGAATCAAAAGTGTTTGAAGACTCCTTAAGTTTAAGAATAAGTTGGTTAAAAAGGTATGTCTCATTGATTAGTGTATTTTTCCGGTACTGTTCGAAATAAGATTTTAAAAAATGGTGTTAGTTAATGTTTGTTTTTTTATCTGTTTTTGTTTCAGACTAACACCCAAAGCGGAAACGAATGCCATTTCCGTGGATCAAATGAACACGCCAAGTCAATTATCGACCAATCCGAGCCCAAATGAGTCCCAATTTAACCTCCCTTCCAGCCGATCAAAATCCGCTTTCGATTTTACTGTCGGCCGAATTCCGAGCTCCACTGGGACGATGAGCTCAACTCCGAACGGAACAACTTCTGGACTGGTCTCGCGAAACGAAGCGGTGGCACGGAGGTATCGCGCTACATGCTTGCTGCTGTTAACTGTTATTTCACACAGTTTACTGTGTCTGCCGTTCATAGTCAACCAATTTCTGGGTGTCTTCAAAGACGGAATTTACCCTGAAACAGCAGCCGAGGAAATGTTGACTCTGTTTTGCACGCCAATTCTGGTCACATCAAGCGCAGTTGTCCCGCTGATCTATCTGAGTATAACGAAATGCAACACGCCAAAGAATTCCCGACGACTTGCGACTGACCGACAGGCAATCGCGAACCGAATGAGCAATAGGGCGACAACCCGGGACACGTTGCGAGTAGTCGTGAATGATGCCCCGATTCGAGTTCCGAGTTTGAAAGCCGTCAGCTCCGCCAAAACGGGAGCAACTTTGTCGTCAACGTGTATATGATTAACTATTTTTTTGCTAGAGACAATTAGACTCCCAAATTTTATCGATTAATTCCTGAATCAATTATCATCGAGGCAAGGATTATCATGTACCGTCTTTGCTGTTACATACAAACATGCACTGTTTTGAACTTAGAAATATAGAACAGCATAAAGTTTCGATGGACTAATCTTAACAAGTAAATAGCAACCGACCTATTTTGGAAGTTTTTCTATTAAAAAAATTACTCTCTTAAGCAAAACCGATGTATCAAGTTCATGTAAATTATCAAAAAACGCAAGATTTCGTCTATCTTAACTTTATGCAACTCTCTATAAATTAATTATCTTTCTTTTTGAGCAGGCAAATGTCGGTTTTGAAACTTTGGATCTTGCTAACTATTATCCTCCCTCTCTTTGCGAAAAGGTGGGTATCATTACAAGGTGAAAAATTTGTATAATATCTTAACTGTTCTGAGGGAGGAAATTCATATATTCTTAACTGTTCTAGGAAATTATTTCTTTATAAAGGGGGGATTCCTTATAAGATGACATCGGGGAGGGGGAGGGTGGGGAATTGATAGATAGTTTACAAGATCCGAAATCTTTAGCGTTAAAAACTTACAGCGCTATGATAATGGATAAATTTCATCAAAAAATGAACAATTTGCATCCTTCTAGAATGTAGTTTGATTATTGTCTTTGAACAAAGAGTCACCATTGATGTCACAAATTGTTCACTAGTTTGGAACTTCACCGACCTGATTTTTTTCTCCGCCGAAAAAGAATATGTTCCAAAATTTCCATCTATTTTGATGTCTGTTTAATAAATTGCTGAACATTTACATTATCAGGGGACCAACTAATATTATTACTCTTCAAAACGTCCTCTTATTAGGTGTGTGATAACCAATTTGAGGTTTCTTCTCAAGTTTTTGTGGATGTTCATAGCTCCTAAAAGTAAAAAGCAGTTTCATAAATCCAAAATTAAAAAAGTAATTAAAAAAAAACAATCAGTATATGAAAAATTACGAGGCCTAATTGTGCATTTTGTGCATTGTAAGCGGATTCCGCAACAAGGACGCTCCCTTTGTTCTTCTTTTGTTTTTTAATTTCCTTTGATCGTTCCGACAAATTTTTAACATTTTTAAAGACTTGTCTCTGGAATCCAGGAACATACAGACACAAAGTTGTGCACCAATCCAGTGCATAGTTTGGCCTCGTAATGAAAAAGAAACTGCATTGGTTTTATTTATTATGTTGAGCATTAAGCAATTGATTGAAGTTTTCGTTAGCTCAAATCTTGGCAAATCTGAAATTGAATTAGAAAAAACTGGGAGCAATGATTGCTATGCTATGACAATTGGGTTTCATGAAATTTAACACTAAGTCTCGATTATTGTTTTCTTACCATTCAATCCACTTGGTGATTGTATTTTTTTATAAATTTGATGTTGTAATCCAAAAATTATCTAAATATCGAATGTTTTTAATGCTTCTTTAAGATTATTTATTTATCTATGCTTGCTGTTCCGACCTTCGAAAATGGGTATTCCGCTATGTTTTAGTTTCTTTTCAATTTAAATAATTTTGTTTTCCACGCAAACTCAAGCACCGCAAATCATCATCAAGCGAGTGATGTATCATTTTAAGTCCCCTTTAGTCGATGATTGGAACAACCGTAAAAAATTTCCCAATAACTCACCCAGCGTTGAGAAAAACCGGTTAGAAGTGTTAAGTTTTTGTTTAAAAATTCTGCGAATAAAGCAAGTGAGAAGGGCTTCTAACAGGCTTCTTTCTAATTCCCTACCCCTCCCCTTTATGGTACTTGGAAAAGAACAACATGCCTACTATAACCAAACAACTATTTACAACTATTCGCATTAATACATAGCAACAAAATCCACTTTTGCAATAGATGTGATGGGGGAGTTAATGAAATGTCAAATAAAAATAAAATTTAATTTTTTTTAAGTTAACGCTCATTTAATTAACGTTTTTTTGTGGTCAAATTAGTTTACTTCTTTTCAGTTAACAGAAACTATGAATTTTAGGAAAAACTATTGAGAGGAAAAAATTTAAATATTGTAAAATCACTCAGAACTTATTAAAGAGGCAAAAATTAAAAGTATGATCTCTGCTAAAAACTACACTCCCTGAACTTCGTTTATTTTGGCAAAGAACAACGGTTTTTCATTGGCTGAAAATTAAACAAATTGTTCAATTAAGTAAAAAAAACTTTTCACCTTTCAACTGGATTAAGAAAGATATCATTTACCTAAGTAAAATCTGTAGTATCAGAGCTATAACGCAAAAACTGAAAATTTTAAGACCATCATATAGTTTTCCGTGCTGGTAACGTCTAATTGCATATGTGTCAATTAGCCTGTCTATGTGAAAAAACGTGGTTCACCTGCTCGCTATCATACCTATTTTTATAAAATCGTCCCAACATTAATCTGATTTGAAGAGGTACAATACACCAAAACGAATTAAATCTGACGATTTTTAGTTTTTTTTTCAATAAACTACCGTTATGATTTCCATTTTTTAATTGAACAATTTTTACTTTTGTCCTTATGTTGTGGAGAAGGGGCGCATATATAAGCGTATGTGCCTATTAAAATACTATAATTGCATCATTTAGGTGTTACCTCTAACAAAAAACAAATGAAAAAGTGTTTATGGCCTAGGAAACTAACGAAAAGAAAAAGACTTGTGAGCAAAAAATAAATTTCAAGCTAAAAATACGCGAAATTAGACGTAATTGTATTTATACTGTGTCTGAGAGATTTTTTTCTGCCTACAATTATCTTTCATTCGAGCTTTCTTTGAAAACCGAATCAATTTTTCTCGTCATGAAATTGTATTGTTTATACATTTCAATAACGATTTATACTTTTTCCATTAAGGTTCCATTAAATCATTTATAACAAATGTTTTGATACACAATGGGATAATATACTTTTCTTGTATTTGTGAAGTTTTGTTTGAAGCAATAGGTTTTGTTAACTTTTCATTTTTGTCCAAAATGCTAGTTCTGCAAAAACACTTTAACGTCTAAAATCCTTTTTGTTGGTGCCGACTAACTTTTTTTCGTTAGTCAATGATCTTTTCTATTTGTTATTTCAAATAAATTGTTATTCCGAGCTTTGAAAATGGGGAAGACCTTTGTAATCGGTTGTGTTTTATTTTTTTATTTTTGTTTCAAACTCAGGTTTCAAAAATAGTCATCGGACTGGGTTGAGTGATATATCATATTAAATCCCTTACAGTTGTGATTTGAACCTTATAAAATTTTTCCCCGTTTCAAGAAAAACCGGTTTGAAATTTTTCCGGTTCCGAGCGAATAAAGCGAGCGAGCAGTCTTGTTTTAACTGCTTAAAAGTTTAAAATAGCCTAATTTATAATGTAAAACTTAGTTTTACTTAAGTTACGTTAGCTTAATTTGAGTATTTTAGCTCTTTTTGGAATGAGAGTTTTTAAGTTTCAAAAATCTGCAAAACTTGAGAAAAAAATTGTTTGGTTTTTTTTTTCATTTTTCAAGTTAATTTTATATTAAAAAATGTTTTTTAATTTGCTTATTTTACTATGACTGTCGAATTTTGTAACTTATCTCCAGTTTTTGTTCAGCTCTTTTCATCGCACCAAGCTGAAAAAAAACTAAATTAATTTTAAAAACTGTTGTTTTATTTTCAAGACTATGGCAAGATTAAAATTTTTATGAAGTTTTCAGCTACAAAATAGAAAAAAATGATACTGGAAATTTACTGAATAGGTCATAAAAATGTAAGATCTAATTTGCTTGTGTGTTTTAATACCTTTTGAAATCAACATCATCTTGTGACAAACAAACTTATAAAATTAGGGGCTTAGATTTGTTTTAGATGTTCAAAAAAAACTTTTGTGCTGTCAGCCAGGTTTTGTTTAATTGGTTTAGTAAACTTATTCAAAAGTTTTTAGGTTTTTGATTCGGCTAGTAAAAAATTTCAACGAAAAACATCAGTGATGTATTATAATAAATTGCTGAAAAAACGCTAAGAACGCACGTTCATTTCAACGTTTTGATACTAATTTTTTAAATATTCTATGTAGTATTATATGTAATAATATTTATATGTAATATTTCCAGAGTTTATGTTGATTTTTCAGCATATATTTGATAGAATTTTTGTTTTCACAATATATCGACTACGTATTAATATTTATTGTTATTAATTTTTGTCTCGAGAACCTAACTTTCATCTTCAGTGTTTTTCGTTTTGTAGTTTTGAAAGATTTTCACGCGTTCAAAAAGAAAATCAGGAAAAACGGTGAAAACAAGAAAGTTCAACTCGTTTGAAGAAAAATGTGTCATTTTGATGACTTCTATTGAGCTGTCGTTTAATGGAAAGTCGATACATTTCCCCGATAAACTGACAAGTATGTAATTAGACTGAAAAGTAACTTAAGCTTCCCGATGAATCGAATCTAGCCCCAGTTTATTGGGGGATCAAGTTTCGCAACTTTCATTTCTCTGCGTCTATAAAGGGTGCCAAAAGTTCGTTCTCAAAACTTAAAAGACCATCCATATAGCATTCATAAATAACACCTCTATAACGGTCAAGACAAAAATTTGAGTGTGAATTGAGTGTGAATTGCTTCACACTCAAAAGCATGAATGTGAAGCAATTGGGTCCGCCGCCCCATCTCCGAATTGGTACAAGTAATTCATTTGTTCACATTGTCTGATCTGTAAAACTTGGGATATGGAAACTTTAGGCCATGGAAATTATATTTGGTGTTCGTACTTAACCTTGTAAGTTTTACTCCCTCGTCCCACCTCAAAATCAAATGACCACAAAAGGAAAGCTGAGAACAGGAATCAAATTACGAAAATCAGCTCAAAATGAACTCAATCCCGGTCAATTGAAAAAAAGTAAACAACGGATTATTGTTTAAATATGGCCTTTCCATATTGCCGCATTAAAAAAGAGGGAAACACATTTAATTATTGATATCTATAAGTGAAAAAACTTCAAAACGAAAAGTTTGAACTCAATATTTTTGCTGCAATTGATAAAAAATCACCTAAAAATTAACCGTACGACACTCAACCACGTCAATAATTGCATGTTGATTTGAGAAAAACTCAGACAAAATTTGGAAAAACTTGTCATTTGTAGTAAATTTAATAGAGTTGTCAAAAATAGGAAGGAAAACTTTCTGCA